ACATGTGATATTTTTAAAACAGAAAGAATAAAGGGAAAAAAAAAACCCTTTATAAGCCACTTGTTATACTATCCCTTAGAGATAAATATTGTTAATATTTTGATGATTTTCCTTCCTGTCCTTTTTAATGCATGATTAAACACACACACACACACACACACACACACACACACACACACACACACACACACACACAGTCTCTATCATTTCAAAATGGAGTTCAGAGGCACCTAGGTGGCCCAGCTGGTTAAGTATCCAACTCTTGATTTCGGCTCAGGTCATAATCTCACAGTTCATGAGATTGAGCCCCATGTCAGGCTTTGCATTGACAGCATGGAGCCTGCTTGGGATTCTCTCTCTCTCTGTCTCTTTCTCTCACTCTCTCTCCTCTCTCTCTCTGACCCGCCCTCTGTTTATGCATGAAAGCCCTCTCTCTCAAAATAAATAAATAAACATTAAAAAAATGGAGTTCATATGCCATGTATATTTTATATCCTTTTTATACAAAATGACATTGTGAGCACTCTATGTCCTTTCAATATTCTTTCAAGACATTATTGAATAGGTTTTAATGGCTATATAACAAGTATATTTATTTGTTATAATTTATTTGATCATTTCTGTTTTGCACAATTACCATTTTATAATTTTTTGCAATTACAAATAACATTGTGATGAACACCTGCATATGATTCTTTGTTAGAATTATTAGGTAAAAGAGAATGAACATTTCTTGATGAAGTCTAATGGTTTTCCAGAAAGGTGTGGCAAGTTACATACTATGAGGAGTACAAAGAGGATCTAACTCAATGAACTGTCACCATCATCATGTTTCTTAAAATCCAAGTTATATATTTTACAGATACAGTAAGATGTCATGACACAGAGTAAGAGATGTTTTAGTAAGTAACTTCTGTTCTGAATTCACACTAATATACTTCAGATAAAAATTTATTTTGTTTGAGAAATAAAAAGTGTAAATTACTGGTGCCTTAAATAGAAGGGGTGACCAATAAAATATTTACTGAAAATTTGAAGTAATAAATGAATAAACCAAATGAAAGACTAAACATCATCTTTTTAAAAGTCAGGATACTTGAATTCTAAGCCTCATATGTCATAGTCTGCAACCTAAGTAAATTTAAACATTCTTTCCTAACTTACTTTCTTAATCTCTATGAAAGGTAAAACAACAGTCTCTGTTTCTATTTCACAAGGATGTCAGAAATATAAAGAAGAAGGAAATATAACACAATGCCTTAAAAACATAACCTCTGAAATCAAATCATCTAGGTTCAATTCTTGACTCTGTTACTTATTAGCTGTGTGACAACAGGCAATTCATTAATTTGTCAGTTTTCTCGACTGTAAAATAGAAATGATAATATTTAACTCATACAATTATTGTGGAGATTAAATGTGAAAATTCATGTTAAATTACTTAGAATCCTACCTGTCAAATAGTAAGTGCTCAATAAACACTTGATGATAATTATTAATATATGTAAAATTCACACATAGGTGAAATAATTAGTTTTAAAAATCTACTTGGTAGATAGACCATTTAAATCTCAGGTACTCTCAATTTAAAATCAACACACTGGGGGCACCTGGGTGGCTCAGTTGGTTAAGCTTCTGACTTCTGCTCAGGTCATGATCTCATTGTTCGTGAGTTTGAGCCCTGAGTCAGGCTCTGTGCTGACTGCTCAGAGCCTGGAGCTTGCTTCAGATTCTGTGTCTCCCTCTCTCTGTCCCTCTCCTGCTCACACTCTGTCTCTCTCTCTCTCTCAAAAATAAATAAACATTAAAAAAAATTTTTTTTAAATCAACACACTGGAATAATATAGACTTATACATTCCCCATAGATTTTAGAGGCTGGAAAATTATGAAATAAAGTTACCCACAAATAAAATACAGTATTAACAAAAAAACTTTCTTTTTCAAGAGATAGTTTTTGTGGCTCTTCACTTGACTAGATCCTTTTCACCCATCAAATCTTAGTTCAATGCCCCATCTTCAAATCACTCAAGCCCTCAGCTACTTAAATTATCCTCTACTATATCATGCAGTTTTCACACTCTAGTTATTTACCATTATCTGTGTATTCCCACCATAATGTAAACTCCATGAGGGAAGAAGCTTAGCCTTTTCTGTCACTATGAATACACTCAGCTCAGACATTTAATAAATATCTGACAAATCACCAACAAATTGATGAAATAACAGATGGTTAGGCACTGAAGAAGTTGGCATAAAAGCTACAAAATTTCTTCAAAGATGGCCCTCTAGATTAGGGTTTCTCAAACATTTTTATCATGACCCACAGCTTAAAATACATTTTATATCAAGATCCAGTATGCATATATATCCATATGACTGAAGCAAGTTTCAGACAAAAATGCCATGGTTACTACATGTGATGAGTTCTGATATTTTTATTCCATTCTATTCTATTCCTTTTCATTAAAAATAAAATAATTACTGCAGTGTGCTAAATCAATTTTATATCACATTATCGTGGAAAGACTTGAAGTGTGAAAAACACTGCTCAAGGTCAGAGGTTATTAAGCTCATATCTGAAAGGTATGTTTAAACATATGCATTGAAAGGAAGAAATAAAAGTGTCTGATCACAGATGACATGATCACCTATGTAGAAAATCAAAGAATTGAAAAAAAAAACTCTCTTGGAACTAATAAGCAATTATAGCAAGCCTGTAAGATACAAGGCTAATATACAAGAGACAATTGCTTTCCTATATACCAGCAGTGAACAAGTGGAATTTGAAATTAAAAACACAATACTATTCACATTAGTGAAAAATTGATAGGTATAAATCTAACAAAATATGTACATGATCTATATGAGGATCTATATGAGGAATATCATGAAATCAAAGAATAAATAAATGAAGAGTAGGAAGACTCAATTTACAACAGACACATATGATAAAAGACTATATCCAAAATATACAAATAACCATTGAAACTCAACAATAAAAAACAAACAACCTAATTAAAAAATGGCCAATGACCTCAAGAGACACCTCTCCAAAGATTTATAGACTGTGAGTATGCATATAAAAAGATGCTCCACATCATATGTCATCAGGGAAATGCAAATTAAAAGTGAGATACCCCTAAACACCTATCAGAATGGTCAAAATCTGGAACACCAACACACTCACTGTTGATGAAGATGTGGAACACAAGAACTCTCACACATTGCTGGTGAGAATACAAGATGGTATAGCTACTTTGGAAGATAGTTTGGCAATTTCTTATAAAAGTAAACATATTCTTACCCATAAGACCTAGCAATCACACTCCTTGGTATTTCCTCAAATGAGTTAAAAACCTATGTCCACACAAAAACTTGTACATGGATGATTACAGCAGCTTTATTCATAATTGTCAAACTTTGGAAGCAATCAAGATGTCCTTCAGTAGGTGAAGGGATAAATAAACTGTGGTACATCCGGACAATGAGATATCACTCAGCACTAAAAAAGAAATGGTCTTTCTAGCCATGAAAAACACGGAAAAACCTTAAATGCATTACACTAGGTAAATGAAGCCAATCAGAAAATGCTATACACTGCATGATTCCAACTATGACATTTTGCAAAAGGCAAAATTATGGGGACAGTAAAATTATCAGGTTTCCAGGGGTTGGGAGTGTTGGAAGGGATAAGTAGGTGTAACAGAATATTCTTATGGCAATGAAAATACTCTATGATACCATAATGATGGATACATGTCATTACACATTTGTCCAAATTCATAGAATGTAGAATACAAGAGAGAATCATAATGTAAAGTATGGACTTTGGGTGATTATGATGTAGGTTTGGTTCATCAGTTCAGTGTACGTTTATCAGTTCTAACAAATGCATCACTCTGGTGTGGGATGTTGTTAAGAGGAGAGGATATGCATGTGTAGATGCAGGGTGTATATGGGCAATCTCTGTACCTTCCCCAAAATTCTGCTGTGAACCTAAAACTGCTCTAAAAAAATAAAATCTTAATTAAAAAAAAAAAAAAAACACATGTAATTTTGTGTATGTGAGTTTGATGGTAAGGGAGGCTATCATAGTTTTCAGATTCATGAAGACATTCCTGTCCCCTTAAATTTAAGAGCTTCTATTACCATATATTCATTATCACTTGTGAAGCACTACACAAAAACATGTATAAAAATGTGGTTTAACATAGGCATGGCACTATATGATAGAAAAGAGCACTGATTCTGTAGTCTGAAAACGCTCAAGTTCAAATCCTGGATTCATCATTTACTAACTTTGTTAACTTGTACAAATTACCTTACCTATGACCCCAGTTTTCTTATGCGGAAAGTAGTTTGAACATCTACTTCATGGGGTTAAGTAAAATACAAATTATGTAAAACATCCATTATAATAATGATGCCTGCTCTTTAATAAATGGAAGGCATCATTAGTATATTCTAATATTTCCAAAAAAAAGTAACTTCCATAGATAAAATCCAATCTTAAACAAAGTACAATTAAATTACACGGTGTAAATTAAGAAAAAATAGGTCATTCATTTATGTAGAAATTATATCCCCAATCTTACTTTTTCTCATAGCAAACACTGCTGTGTAGGAGAAATTACAACATGTTCTTCCAAGTATGAATTTATCAGTTCAGTAAATGTACCAAGTACCCTCCATATACAAAGTCTGGAAAAATGATTTTGCAAGAACAATCTGATGGTTTCCAGAGGGGAGGTGGTGGCAGGGATGGGTGAAATAGGTGATGGGGGTTAAGGAGTGTGTGTGTCATGATCAACACCAAGTGATGTATGGAATTGTTGAATTACTCTATTGTATACCTGAGCTAATATAGTACTGTATATTAACTAACTGGAATTAAAATAAAAATCTAAAAAATGACTTAGCAAAAAATATAAATAAATTACTCCCTTCACCCCCATGATTGCAATTAACAATTTATGGCTTTTTAACCAATGTTCCTCACATCACTTAGCTGCCTGTTGCACAGTGGTGTGGCTGCGTTGGTATTCTGCTTATTTCCTGCCTTTAAAGCTGCATCTCTTCTTGCTTGCTCAAGCAGAACTCTTGCTCTTTCTTTAAGTTCTTCTTGTCTGGATAACATTCGATGCTTAAAAGCAAAAATACAGAATTAGAAGCTCAAAAAAAAAAAAAAAAAAAAAAAAAAAAAAAAAAGAAAACCCACCACATAATCTATATTTGTAAACTAATCAATGGTTATATTATCTGTCAAAATAATAGAGATCAGAAATAAGATTGTAATTTTACAAGATTGCTTACAGAAAATACTAATTTTAGCTAGAAACTGTAGAAAGCCTTGACATTTAGGAAATATATCTTCTTTTTTGTTTAAAGTTTATTTGTTGAGAGAGAGAGAGAGAGTGAGAGTGCACGTGAGCAGGGGAGGGGCACAGAGAGGTAGAGAAAGAGAATCTCAAGCACTGACAGTGCGGAGCCCGAGGGAGGAATGAACTACCGAATTCAGAGATCATGACCTGAGCCAAAGTTGGACACTTAACCAACTGAGCCACCCAGGTGCCCCTGGAAATATAACTTTACTGCCTAAAGCTGGATTATGTTTAATTACGTTTTTATTAGAACATATTCCCATAAAGCATAAGGTCCATATGTATATTATATACATTCTTCATATTTGTTAATCATAGTATAATCTGGCAGACATTTTTAAAAAATTATATTTCTTACACTCTTATAGGACTGATAACAAGGTGTCTTCCAAATTTGTATGTTTAAAGATATTAAGTATCTGTGACAATAATCCTTTAAATTCTTGACAATTAACATTTACAGAAAATTCAAAACTATCATATGTTTTTTAAAAAAAAGTAAAACTGGTTTTCTCCAGTGCTCACTTTCCTTACAATAAGACAATTAACCATATCAGAATTGGAAGAATGTTTTCCTGGATTAATTTGTAATCTGACAATATATTTATGGGTAACAACAGGTAACGACCACTAAAGGAAATCGGTCCTTAAATGAGGACATTAATTCAAAGCACAAATATCCATGTTTATAGTTCAAATTCCTTTTTCTCCCCAAAAGTAGTCAACATCTGGCTTTAAATTTTTTTTTTGTAATGTTTATTTATGTTTGAGAGAGACAGAGTGTGAGTGTGGGAGGGACAGAGAAAGAGGGAGACACAGAATCCGAAGCAGGCTCCAGGCTCTGAGTTGTCAGCAAAGAGCCTGATAGAGAGCTCGAACTCATGAACTGCAAGATCACGACCTGAGATGAAGTCAAACGCTTAACCGACTGAGCCACCCAGGGGCCCCAAGCAACTTCTGACTTTAGATTACTATTGGTCTGATATTTAATTTCTTTTACTTCCCTTTCATTGCAAAGTTTTTGTTCAATCATAAGTAGCATTTATGGTCAAGGAAAAGGTAATAAACAGTAAACATATTTATTTGTTATAGTGTGAAACTTTAAAAAAATATTAAATCATTTTTTGGTCTCTGAGATATTTATGTTTTAATACAACATTTTTAAGCACTTTTCTGTAAACTTAAGGAAAGATTTTTTTTTAAGTATCCAGTTCAGTGGTTTTTACTATATTCACAAAGTTGTGAACCATCAACACTATCTAATTCCAGAACATTTTCATCACCCAAGGTTTTAAGAGGATTAAACAAAAATTCTTCACCTAATAGATATAATTGAAATGTGTAAGTGATAATGATAGATTTTTTGTCATGTTGATAGGACATAATAGAATAGAACTGGTCATTGCAGTTGAACTGGTTACAAATCAACACTTTCTAAAAACAGACAAGATTAATTAAATAAACACTGAATCTGCAATCAAGACATGAGTTTGTTAATCCTTCTTCCACTAATAATAAGCAATGTAACATTGAACAGGTCACTTAAAAGCTATGCTGTATTCCATTACATGATATTTAAGAACCCTCAAGTCAGGAAGACCTTGGTTCAAACACTAGATATGTCACTTAATTGTGGATATAAAAGTTACTCAATCTCTCTAAGCCTCAGTTTCCTCACTTATAAAATGGGGATGAAAACAGACAACCTCTCACAAGGATATTATAAAGATTAAGTGAAACAGAGTAATGTACAGAGCACTAGATAAATGTTAACTATTATTATATATTTAAAAAGCTCTCAACTGCCTCTTAGTTGTTTTTTTTTTTAATTTTTCTAAATGTTTTTATTTATTTTTTAGACAGAGACAGAGCATGAGCAGGGGAGGGGCAGAGAGAAAGGGAGACACAGAATCTGAAGCAGGCTCCAGGCTCTAAGCTGTCAGCACAGAGCCTGATGCGGGGCTCGAACTCACAGACTGTGAGATCATGATGTGAGCTGAAGTCGGACGCTTAAGCAACTGAGCCACCCAGGCCTCCCTTGCCTCTTAGTTTTTTAATGTTTATTTTTGAGAAGTGGGGGAGGGACAGAGAGAGAGGAGAGAGAGAATTCAAAACAGGCTCTTCACTGTCAGCACAGAGCCAGATGCAGGACTTGAACTCACAAACCATGAGGTCATGACCTAAGCCAAAGTTGGTGAAATGTTGAACTTCAGGTCAGGTCATGATCTTGTGGTTCATGATTTTGAGCCCCACGTCGGGCTATGTGCTGACAGCTCAGAGCCCAGAGCCTGCTTCAGATTTAAGAGGAGATCATCTTTAAAATCCCAACAGCCCTAAAACTGGTGATTAGAATACATCATCTTGGGGCGCCTGGGTGGCGCAGTCGGTTAAGCGTCTGACTTCAGCCAGGTCACGATCTGCTGTCCCAGCCAGCCTGCGTCGGGCTTCCCTGGGCTGACTGAGCCTGGAGCCTGTTTCCGACCCTCTCTGTCTCCCCTCTCTCTCTGCCCCTCCCCCCCATTCATGCTCTGTCTCTCTCTGTCCTAAAAATAAATAAAAACGTTGAAAAAAAAATAAAAAAAAAAAAAAAAAGAATACATCATCTTTAAGATCCTATATTGGCTCTAAATTCTGTGAGTATACACAGACCTTTAGGGATTCCGGTTAGCTACACAGAAAGCGAAAGACTGCTTTGGTACAAGACCATATAGAAACAAACTTTTTCTGATTATAAATGTAATTCATATTTCTTAGAAAAATTTTAGAAAGTACATAAAAGTAAAAATAAAAATAATCAGGGGCGCCTGGGTGGCGCAGTCGGTTAAGCGTCCGACTTCAGCCAGGTCACGATCTCACGGTCCGTGAGTTCGAGCCCCGCGTCAGGCTCTGGGCTGATGGCTCGGAGCCTGGAGCCTGTTTCCGATTCTGTGTCTCCCTCTCTCTCTGCCCCTCCCCCGTTCATGCTCTGTCTGTCTGTCCCATAAATAAATAAAAACGTTGAAAAAAAAAATTTATAAAAAAAAGAAATAATCAGAGGCATCATATTCCCTGATTTCAAACTATATCACAAAGCTATAGTAATCACAACAGTATGGTATTGGCCAAAAAAAAAAAAAAAAAAAAAAAAAAAAAAAAAAAAAAAAAAGACACACAGATCAATAAAAAAAAAAATAGAGACCACAGAAATAAACCCAAGTATATAGGGTCAATTAATTTATGACAAAGGAGCCAAAAATATACTGGGAAAAGACAGTCCAATAAATCATGTGGAGAGAACCGGACAGCCACATGCAAGAGAATGAAACAGGATGCCTATCTTACACTACTCACAAAAATTAATTCAAAATGGATTAAAGACTTGATAAGATCCAAAACCATAAAACTAGAAGAAAACACAGGTGGTAAACTCCTTGACAATGGTCTTAGTGATGATTTTTTTTGCATTTGGTAACAAAAGCAAAGGCAACAAAGGCAAAAATAAACAAATGTGACTACATCAAACTAAAAGTTTCTGCACAGTTAAGGAAACCATCCACAAAATGAAAAGGCAATGTACTAAATGGGAGAAAATATTTGCAAATCATGTATCTGAGAGGGGGTTAATAATCCAAAATATATGAAGAACTCATATAACTCAATAGCAATGCAATTAAAAAATGGACAGAAGACTTGAATAGACATATTTTTGGGAAACCAAAAAAGACATACAAATGGTCACAGATACATGAAAAGATGCATGCACATCACTAATTATCAAAGAAATGCAAATTAAAAGCACAATAAGATATTACCTCACAACTGTTAGAATGGCTATTATCAAAAGATAAGGAATAATAAGTGTTGGTGAGGATGTGGAGAAGACAGAACCCTTATGCACGGTTGGTAGGGATATAAATTGGTGTAGCCACTGTGGAAAACGGGATGGAGATTCTTCAAAAAATTAGAAATAGAACTACCTTATGATCTGGAAATTCCACTTCTGGGTGTTTATCCAAATAAAATAAAAACACTAACTCGAAAACACATATGCATCCCTATGTTCAACGCAGCATTATTTATATTAGCCAAGATACAGAAACAACCTAAGTGCTCACTGATGGATGAGTAGATAAGGAAATTGTTCACACACACACACACACACACACACACACACACACACACACACAGTGGCATATTATGCAGCCATAAAAAAGAACAAAATCTTACTACTTGTGACAATATGCATGGATCCTGAGGGCATTATGCTAAGTGAAATAAGTCAGCAGACAAAGACAAATACAATATTATCTTACTAGTATGTGGAATCTGAAAACAAAACAAAGCCCCCCAAAACCCAAAACACCAAGCTCACAGATATAGAGACCAATTGGTAGTTGCCCGAGGCTGGGGATAGAATGTGGACAAAATAGGTGAAGGGGGTCAAAAGGTACAAAATTCCAGTTATAAAATAAATAGGTCATGGGGATATAACGTATGGCATGGTGACTATAGTTAGTAATACTGTATCGCATATATGAAAGTTTTTAAGGGAGTAGATCTTAAATGTTCTCGTCACAAGAAAAAAAATTTTTTGTAACTACATATGGTAATGGATATTAACTAGGCTTATTGTGGTGATCATTTCACAATGTATACAAACATCAAACAATTGTACACCTGAAACTAATGTAATATTATATGACAGCTATATCTCAATAAAAAACTAATTTAAAAAATCAGGGCAACTGGGTGGCTCAGTTGGTTAAGTGTCTGACTTTGGCTCAGGTCATGATCTCACAGTTCTTGAGTTCGAACCCTGCATTAGGCTCTTTGCTATCAGTGCAGAGCCCACTTCAGGTCCTCTGTCTCTCTCTCTGTCCCTCCCCTGCTCGTGCACATGCTCTCGCTCTCCCTCTCTCTCAAAAATAAATTTTAAAAAATAATAAAATAAAAAATAAAGTAGGTGCCGGGGTGACTCAGTTGGTTAACTGTCAACTCTTGATTTTGGCTCGTATCATGATCTCATAGTCATGAGATTGAGCCCTGTGCCTAGCATGGAGCCCACTTAAGATTCTCTCTCTCCTTCTCCCTCTGCCCCTCCCTCACTCGCATTCTCTCTCTCTCAAAAATAAAATAAAATAAAATAAAATAAAATAAAATAAAATAAAATAAAATAAAATAGAATAGAATAAAGATAATTAGCAATCCTGGCACCCAAAGATAATCACTACAGAATCATGCTTTTTTAACTTAACATTCCATTGTGAGCATATTCTCATGTAAATATTTTAAAAAATATTTGTAAACACAATTTAAAACTGCCTACCTAGCATTCTAATAATACAGATGCATCATACTTTATTTAACTCGTCTTAAGGTATTTAGGTTGTTTGTAATTTTTCACTATCAAGAACAATGTTTTCATACACATCTTTTTAAAAAAATTTTTTTTTCAACATTTATTTATTTTTTGGGACAGAGAGAGACAGAGCATGAACGGGGGAGGGGCAGAGAGAGAGGGAGACACAGAATCGGAAACAGGCTCCAGGCTCTGAGCCATCAGCCCAGAGCCCGACGCGGGGCTCGAAGTCACGGATCGCGAGATCGTGACCTGGCTGAAGTCGGATGCTTAAACGACTGCGCCACCCAGGCGCCCCTATACACATCTTTATAAATTCTTATACACAGTTCTGATTAACCTATGGAAAATAAGTGCTGCAGGTAGAATCTAATGAGATAAACATTTTTTTTTAATTTTTGTTTTTCAACGTTTATTTATTTTTGGGACACAGAGAGACAGAGCATGAACGGGGGAGGGGCAGAGAGAGAGGGAGACACAGAATTGGAAACAGGCTCCAGGCTCTGAGCCATCAGCCCAGAGCCTGACGCGGGGCTCAAACTCATGGACCGCGAGATCATGACCTGGCTGAAGTCCGACGCTTAACCGACTGTGCCACCCAGGCGCCCCGTGATAAACATTTTTAAGGAACCTGATGTACGTTGCTAAACTGTCCTTCAGTAAGGTTGACTGCTTTACATCTGGCTGATTATCTTTACTGCTATTGTGGTCAAATGTGAAGAGATATTATGAGTATCTAGTTTAGCATAGACTTTAGAGTCAGAAAAGGTTGGTTTTGAATTCAAATTTTAACACTTATTAAATGATCTTAGGCAACTCTGTAAACTCCATTTTCCCCACATATTAAGTAGAATTTAACCACTTACCTCATGGGTTATAAAGTTTGAGAGATATGTATAAGGTATATAAAGGTCAAGCACTCAAATGAGCAACATTATGACTTTAAGTCTGTATAGCCAAATTGATCAGATTTTCTCTAATCCAATGCCATTAGGTACTAGATGTACTATTATTTTATGAACTACTAAGAAAGAACAAACATTGTCAAACTCTAACATACTATCTATTATAAGTAACATATTGATTTCAGAGAAAATGTAAAAAAGATGCTTATCTTAGAATTGATGAAGTATATAGTATGTAAAAAACCCCAGATTTTTAAGAAATTTGCCCAATTTCAAAACCCTGTTAAAATAGCACAATTTTAAAAACCTATGAAATATTAGCAATCATATTACAATTTTTTGTGTGTCAGGCAGTACTTCTGATAAAAAAAAACAAAAACAAAAAACACCTTTAACTTTACCCTAAACAAAATTCTGACCATTTAACCAATGGTCAGTTGATAAACAAATATATATGGGGTCATAAATAGATGTTGCCTCCATCATCCTGTGGATTCATTGTACATCATTTAAACCTTCTCAACAGCATCACAGCATGATAGAGTTTAAGAGCTAAAAGGGCTCTTAGAGATTATTTCATTTAATATATGTGAAAAATATGATTAAAAGAATTTAAATGGCTAGTTAACATGTCACATTGGTAATTATTAGCAGAGCCAAGATGAGAACCTAGGTGTACAGATTCCAAGTCCAGAGTGTTTTTAATTTTAAACATTAATTAATTTCTAGGTTTAATTAATATATTTACCTTAAAAATCTGGGTTATAAGAAAATTCTGTATTGGGTAATACTTAGAAGTTAGGTTACTAAATTCTGTAGTTATTAACCACTAGATGTTTACTGATTATCTGCTATGTAGGGACACTCTGATGTCTTGAAAGTCTTTTTGTCCTAAAAGTTAAAGTACTTAGAATTTATGATTTGTAATTTTTGATTTGGAGAACAGGGGCTTGCTTTGTTAGCTACTATCATTTCTTTGATTCAAAGATGTGCATTTTTCCTTAACATCTCTGATAACTTAAAATTGATGGCATCTTATAATCTTTGTTAGCCAGATGGTAGTCAGGACAGCCATCAATGCCTACACACACATGTGCTTGATATTTTGGGTGGCATGACTGCAATTCCTTGATGTTTCAGTTAACAAATACTTAAATAGTATCTGAAAAATGGAATATAATTCCAGGTTATTGTCCAAAAATCTTATTTTGGGGACTTCTCATAAGGTCAAGAAAATGCAATTATCAATCAGTATTACTGAGAAGAAAACCCCAGAGAAAACTGTAGAGGACTGCTGTATTCAAAAGTTTCAAACTTTGGTTTTAGAATTACTTTCATGCGCTCAAAAATTATTGAGGATCTCAAAAAGCTTTCATTTATGTGTTATATTTATTTATATGTAGCATTTAAATTAAAACTGAGAAATGTTAAAAATATTTATATATTAATTTAGAAATAACTGTAATGAACCTATTAGATGTTAACACATTGTAACAAAAAATACTTAAAAAAAAATAAGCGAGAATGGCATTATTTTAGTTTTTAGAAATCTCTTTAATATCCGGTTTGATAGCAGGCAGCTGGATTCTCATACCTACTTTTGTATTCAATCTTTTGAGATATTGCAAATCACTTAGCCTCCAGAAAACGTCACTGTACACTTGTGAGAAAGCGAAAGTGAAAAGGTAAATGTTCTATTATTATTAGGAAAAGAGTTTCAACTTTGGGGGCTCTCTGAAAGAGGGTAGAAGAATTCCAGGGTCCCCAGATCATACTTAGAGAAGCACCACTATAACATTATGTTTTCGATGGCACAGAGGATAATACTGTGTGGCAAAACAGGAACACCAAAAACTCCAAATCAAAAAGTGATTCACAAGAGTTGGATTCTAAATTCTAATTCTAAGTCAGTTATATCTTAACCAATTTATTTTGCTTAAGTTCTTTTTTATGTATACATAAGAGGGTTATATGATGAAAAAAATCCATGCTTGAATAAGTTTAAAAGAATTCATTCAATAGGTATAAAATAAAAATTCTATGTGATAAGAAAACCATTTATCATGTTTTTCTGGCAATGTTTTCCTTTCTTTTTGGTACATAAAATAATGGTATATCTTATAATTGATGGTGCCAGAGATTCAATTAAATACAGTAAATATTGTAAGGTCAAATCTGCATCATATTCCCCTCATGGGGAGAAATTCGGATGTTACTGGAATTTTTAACCACAAGTAACAGTGGGACTGAAGATATCAATTACAATGCAACTAAAATATTTGAAGAAAATACTTTAAATGGGAAATATTTAACTTAGCATTACATATTTTCAGAATGATATTCCTAATAAATGGAATAGTGAAATATCTTTGACTTATTCTTATAGTGAAATGTTCTGTTTTTATAGATAAATAATATTTTGATTTGAAAAGGTAATATTCTTTATCCTTCAATCTTCAAATTTGGATTTATTTCTAGGCTTAAAATATTATATCATAAACTTTAAATGAAGTTCAGGTATATTTTGGGTTTTTATATAATGGGAAATTACCTCTACCTTTACTCAGTTGTAGTATTTTAAAGTGGTCTGTAAATACAAAAAAATAGAATAATTATTTACTAAATATAGGTAATCATCATTCTAACTCACTTACCTGGACTGTTTTTGTGGAATGATCTGCATGATTGAAAGTGGTTCTATCAGCATCTGGATCAGACTCTGTCTGCCTTAGGGAAGTACGTTTTTTCTTTGTAAGGTCTGCATCTCTGTTGTATGAGTATCCAAGTTTGGAAGTGGGAGATAAACTTGGTTTTTTGATAGGTGATTCAGGATCCGATCTGCATTCTAAGGGTCTGGAATTCTCTAATTTTTCCTTCTCCAAGTTATTACTGATGTCTAGAGTCTGAAGCTTTTGTTCCTCTGTCTCCTCACAAATAAAGGGTGGAGACACATCCTTCTTCTTATCACTAACGTATAAGTCACTTAATTCTAAAGTCTCTGCTTTCAAGAGTCTCTTCTTGCCTAACAAAACTTGTGCGTGGATTGAATCTGTATTGTAACATATTCCAGGGTCATCGGATCCTGAAGTCCTTCCAGAGCTCTGCTGGGACTTTTGGGGTTCTGTGTCACTTTTAGTCCTGCGACAGTAAGGGGAGGATGTGCTTGGACTAAGATGATCGTCAGGAGTCTGATGTTCACTTTCTGACTCTCCAACCCCACTATCATTTACAAATACAGAGTCATCTTGCGACAAGAAGTCTACTGCTCCGCTGGTAGGCTGCTGTATTTCAGGCTCCCGTTTCAGATCACTAAGTTCTGCATAGAATTTTTCCTGATCAACAGAACTATTTGTATCTGTTTCATAGTTTCCAACTTTATATGTGCTTTTACTGCTGTTCTCCTCTATCTGGACAACATTCAGTTCTTGGCCACTGAAATGTGCCCTGATTTGATAAAGATAAGTCATAACAGTCAGTTTGTCAGGAATTGCTAATAAAACCATATCAGAAGGTTCCAACAACCGGGAAATTCCTATGCTGGCAAATCCATCATATGCCTTTAAAGAAAGGAAAAACAAAGATATATTGAATAGTTCAAACAATCCACTCATTTTAAAAACAGCAAAAGGACAGATATTAACTAGATATACTGTGGTGATCATTTTACAATATATTGAATCATTATGTTATCTACCTGTAACTAATGTAATGTTATATGTCAATTATGCTTTAATAATAAAGTTGTAAAAATAAAGCTTAGTTACCATAAGAAAAAGCAAATTTTTAAAGAATTTTGTTGTTGTTGTTGTTGTTGTTGTTGGAGGGTATATTACATTAGTAACATTAGTGCTACATGAAATAACAAAATTTCATGCCCAAAATTTGTAAAGGTGGGATAGATGCAAGAAAAAAGAAGTTTCTTAATTAATAACAATTGAAATGTTCCCCAATAAATGAGTAAAAATGAGAATTAAAACAAAAAAAAAAACCCTTAGAATAATTTTTTATAAGGAACTAAGGTATAAAGAAATAATAATCAATCTGGAGCTTTATCATTCCCATCAATCTCTCTTTACCATGATCATATAAATGCAGTGATTCGTGAAGAAAAAGTAGAGCTAGATATCCCCAAAGAATGAAATCCTAGATTACCTCGTATAAAATACAAGTAAGTACTATTTAAGCCTAAGAACATAGTAACATTTTTAAATGCCCAATTAGGACTGATTTTCATAATGAGAAGAGTGATTGCATTTTCACTTCATCCATTTTGGAAAGAATGAAATGTTTTGAGTAGTACAACCTAGTTGAGAATGTGAGGTTGCATTGTATTATTTTTGTTAGCCTTTAAAATGACTGTGGCACATCAGGTTTTTCTAGTTTTGAAGAATCAAAGCTGTTTCTCAATTTACAATTAATTATTACTATCCTGAACTAACCCTTGAAAACAGCACTGTGTTGCTAGGAAGTATTAAAAATATGCCTAAAGGTTCAGATATACTCTTGGAAGAAGTAAGGACCCTCTAGTTGCACTCTCACTTTGGAATATAAAATGTCTGGTCTTTGTAACAACCTAGATGTAGGATCATAACTCAAAGTTTTTCTTAAAATAAAGGTTAAGAAATTATGTAACAATTTAGAAGGAATTAGTCTTTTGCACTTACATGTTAAAGAGCATTTCTACCTTTGAATTTAATCCTCATCTCAAAGTCTTCCTGGAGTTTAATAAATGTTGTGGAATAAGTAAGAAAGAAAATGAAAAATAAATTGCAATATTAAAACCTCTTCAATTTTCACAGCACTATGTTTCATAATATAGGTACCTCAAAATATTTACTCAAGAGAATGGCTCAGTTGGTGTGCATGTTTAGGCCTGTTTGTTATTTTACATGTTTTAGGAAAATTAAAGTCATTTTCCTCCTCATGTGTCTTGACAACTTGATTGACAGACATCAATTGCAGACCATCAGGAAAAGCACCACAGGCAGTATTGTAAACATTTCCCAATTACCTAAAACACTGACATACTGGTTAAGATCATATGTCACAGGTAAATACCTTTTTTATTCAGTACTTTTTACAGACCTGGGAAAATGATTAGCTTCCTTGTGGGGAATCTCCTGCTGGTGTTTTGCTTTATGTAGCAATTCACTTTATGCACACTAACTGCACTAAAAAAACCATTTAAAAACAAACTGGGTTTCTTGTAAGCGAGGTCAAGACTTTATAAAGGAATCTTCCCCTAGGTTAACCTCTTTTGCTGTGGTCAATCACCTGTCTTTTCAGCTGTTTATGTGAGGACGAAAAAAAAGAGGTCTTTCAAAGAAAATGGCCGTATTCATTCCTAGATGTTATTTAATTGGTAAGGAGGAGTCATTGCCAGTTATGTTATGCATCTGCATGGAACTTAAGACACATGCATTGTTTCTTAGGCTGCTTTAAGTCCAATCAAGGGCAGATGAGGTTATCGGGAAGAATTGTGTGAAGCCGGAAATAAATCTGCAGGTAGCAGCTGATACTCAATGTAGATACCAGGTAGGAAGTTGCAAAGTGATGAAAAGCAAAGATTGTATGACAATTATTTATTCAATTGTGCAATGAATAGGACCATCTAAATTAAAATCCTTTCAAAAAGCCATGATTATCTACCCTAGAAGATCTAATTGAGAAAAAACGTAATAGGATATTCTTCTCTATGTAGTAATATGTAAACCCAAGGTATGCTCATCATTATTAAGTTCCTGAAAAAATAATGTAAAGAAGTGTGGCCTAAACCTTAAGGCAAATCTCCATACTCTTAAAAATACATAGCCAGGTAAAATCAACAATGTTTCCTTTTCAAAATTTCAAACATTAATTTAAAAGCTTCACTTTACAAAAATAATAATGCTCTATTTTATGCTTTTATCTGCATTTAAATTAGCTTAGTATTTTATTCAAATGCAAAAAAATGCAGGCATAGAACTATCATACAAGCTCTCCAAAATTATAAAAGAAATAATTCACAAGAATGACTTACTCTGTAGCATACCTACCACAGATGTGATTTCTATAAGGAAAAACACACTGATATTTTAAGATTACCTTTTTTGGTGGCATATTTCAATTAAAAAACCTAACAGTTTTAAAATGTATTTCTCTAGGGCCATCATCAGGCATTTGTAAAGGTTTTTTTTTTTTAATTTTTTTTTTCAACGTTTTTTATTTATTTTTGGGACAGAGAGAGACAGAGCATGAACGGGGGAGGGGCAGAGAGAGAGGGAGACACAGAATCCGAAACAGGCTCCAGGCTCCGAGCCATCAGCCCAGAGCCCGACGCGGGGCTCGAACTCACGAACCGCGAGATCGTGACCTGGCTGAAGTCGGACGCTTAACCGACTGCGCCACCCAGGCGCCCCTGTAAAGGTTTTTTTAATGACAATACAAATTTTTGGGTTTAGAGGGCAATAAAAGTAAAAAATTGTTGAATTAAATTCTCATCTGTTAACTGAATTTCTATCAAGATTCCATTTATGGACTTTTTAACACTCATTGGTGGTTTTAATTATTTAATTTAAAGTAGACTGAAAACTTTAGACCAGAGGTTATTAATCACTTTGTCCTATGAATCCTTTTGGCAATACACCCTTTTCAGAATAATGCTGTATGTTTATAAAATACATAGGATTACAGAAGAAACCAGTTATATGAAAAATAAAACCATAAAAATATTAGTAAGACTAAATTTGAGAAACAGCAATACGTATACTTCTGGTGAATGTATTAACAACTGTAATTGTGAAGAAGTGATGAGCTTAAAAGATATGTGAAGGTATTACAACTGCAACTGCAAGGTGATACCAAAATATCTGAGATTCTTAAGGTGATAAAGTCTTAGGCATGGCTAATGCTAAAGTGGTGTGTTGCCAAAATTCATAATGAAAGGAAATGCTAAATTTCACTTAAAGAATTAAGAAAATAAAATACATTTTCCCCCTAGTCATGTTCAAGAACCCCCTGAATTCTGTCCATAGCTCCCACATTAAGAACTCCTATTCTAAGACAACAATGTATTTCATTAACTTTTCAGCTGAAGAATTCAATTCAGTATAAAAAACAATGAGTACCTACTGTGTGTTGAGTTAGTTCTTCCCTCCTTTCTCATGTCACAGTGCACATACATGTTATAATATTGTACTGTGCACTGGGGTAAATAGTTAAGTTAGCCTGCAACCACAGTCAGCTAGCCCAGCAGCCTCTGGGCAACTCAGCCCCACACAGCTACCCTGACGGCCAAAAGAATCAATATCCCCCTGCACAGTAATTAGGAAGCTCTGCCCTCAGTATGCTAATTAATTATGTGGAAAAACTATACAGCTTACCAGAAAGTGAAAAAAAACAAAAATAAAAACCAAAACCCAATGTTCATATCTTTTTGCTTCTAGGAACATATGCTTGCTTTCTTGCATACCTGCCCTCATTCCCTCCCAACATATTTTTCTAAACTCATAATCATTTATGGTACAAGAGCATTGAGTGCACTTTTTAAAAGCTAAATCTCGAATAAAAACAGTATGCCTTAACAAATATTTAACAGTGAATGAAGTCCATACATATATTAAAATTTGATGCCAGTCTGGCACTTGTGATCTTTAAAGGCCATGACAACCTAGGGTAAGACAACCTAGAGTAAACTATGCATCCTAATTTGCACTGCAAGAAGCAGACTATCTTCTTTCTGTGAGCTGCAGTTATGACCTTACAACACAACCTCACTTTTCCTAAATCAATAAAAGCTGCAGAAGAGCCAAACTGGAAACTATGTATTTTTTTCCTTGGCAATTCTTACCTTTTTGTTGTTCTCTTTAATATCTTGAGGATTCAGAGACTTGTAGTCACTGGGGAAGAAAAAGGCACCGTAGGTACATACAGTATTTGATAAAAACAGCTGCTTAAAAAGAAACTTGAATCTAAAAATTTGACATTCAATAATACCAAAGAGTAACTAGCAATTTCACAGCAGTTCAATCAACCAAACTAATAGTGTGGAAAAGTAAGTAAGTAAGTAAGTAAGTAAGTAAGTAAGTAAGTAAATAAATAAATAAATAAATGAATGAATGAATGAATGAATGAATATAGTGATTACATGTTTCATTGCCTGAAGCTTTCCATCTAAAAGAGAAGTTAAGGCAGAGCACCAGAGACCCGTCTTAACAACCAAATTTACCATGAGGTAATCCCTTGTTGTCAATGTACAAAGAGCTATGAGCTAATATGTCTCATCTCATTTTAACAGTAACACAATTTTCATAATAATTAAAAAAAAATTTTTTTTAATGTTTATTTATTTTAGAGACAGAGAGACAAAGCACAAGTGGGGAGGGACAGAGAGAGCCGGAGACAGAATCTGAAGCAGGCTTCAGGCTCTGAGCTGTTAGCTCAGAGCCTGATGTGGGGCTCAAACCCATGAACCATGAGATCATGACCTGAGCCGAAGTCGGACACTCAACCGACTGAGCCACCCAGGTGCCCCTCATAATAATTTAAAGTCAGTTATTTGTATGAGATTAAGAAGAAAAAACTTTTTTTTTTTTTTAAGAGAAGATAGGTTTTAGGCATCAAGAAGGGAGAACTTTTCTTTTTGGCACCATTTCTTTTCTCAAAAAGCAAAAGGTGTGAGTAATAAGGAAAACAAAGTCAACTGTTTCAGGACATGCGTTAATGAAATTATTTATGTTTGGGGTGCCTGGGTGGCTGAGTCGGTTAAGCATCCAACTCTTTTTTTTTTTTTTTAATTTTTTTTTATTTGACATTTATTTATTTTTGAGACATAGAGAGACAGAGCATGAACGGGGGAGGGTCAGAGAGAGAGGGAGACACAGAATCTGAAACAGGCTCCAGGCTCCGAGCTGTCAGCACAGAGCCCGATGCGGGGCTCGAACTCACGGAGTGTGAGATCATGACCTGAGCCGAAGTCGGTCGCCCAACTGACTGAGCCACCCAGGCACCCCAAGCATCCAACTCTTGATTTCAGCTCAGGTCATGATCTCACAGTTCATGAGTCTGGGCCCCACATTGGGTTCTGCACTGACATTGCGGAGCCTGCTTGGGATTCTCCCTCTCCCTCTCTGTGCACATGGGCACACAAAAGCATAAATAAATAAACTTAAAAAAAGAGAAGTTATTTAGGTTTTTAAAGAAACTATTATTTACAAAACAATTTACAGGGAATGGAAAATGTTCTACTTACATTAAATCTGGTCTAAAGTGGTGTAATATTGCACAAAAAGATAAACCGTTTCTCCATGATGTAGTAAAATTGGTGATTTTCACTCCCCGGTAGTTTTTTGTAACTTCTTTACACCATACAAGCAATGACTGACTAGCATTTGGCTTTCGCCCCAAAACAGGACTTGGTATAGGACTTGGCTAGAAAAAAAGAAAAAGAGAAAAACATTTAAAATAATTTAATGAAAGATGAAAATTAACATTAATTGACCTAAGTAGATCATTTAAACCCTTTGATGTCAGTTTAGGTCCTTCAAAAATGTCAATTCAAGACAAATGAAACCTCCAAGAAGGAGACATGAATCTTAAGTTATTATCTTCAGTTTTAGCCTATGGCATTTGCCTGACAAGGATGTAGATATGCAAGATTTTAAACTCATACATAAGAACAAGCCAAGAGCTACAATGATGGAAACATTATATTGAAGTATTTAAATACTTAAGTCTGAATATCTGTGTAACTCTTATAACCTAAAAAATTTTCCTCAAATACAATCATGGATAAATATAGTTCCTTTTTGACTAGATTAAAAATAATGTATTTTGAAATCTAACTGTAGCACAAATTGTTAGCAGTGGAAAGACCAAGATCCTATTAAGTTTTTTTTAATACAGTAATCATATTTTTGATAGCACAATGGTAATCATACTCAAACATATTTCTTATATAAATTTTATGATGGCAAAACAGATTTTGAGTTATTAGCAACAGTCAGATATTGGTAGCAACAGCACACAACAGTGTGTGATTTGGATTTGCTCAAAATATCTTCTAATTATCACTGATAGTTACTTTTGTAGGTCAGTTAGGGGTGTGTGTGTGTGTGTGTGTGTGTGTGTGTGTGTGTGTGTGGCTAAATCTTAAGCATATACTTGGTTTTTCCCTTGTTTATATATTTAAAACAATGATGACAAAAAAAAACTACATAAGATTTTTATCCTAAACTTTTATTATTCTTAAAACCATGTCACTTTCTTTTACTGAATAACAACAACATTTTGTGATAGTAATTGTAAGGCCGGTACAATTGAAAACCATAAAGAAAACTACAATAGGCTCTTGGACTTTAAATTTTGCTGTCAGTTAAGAGTGCTGATGATAAACATAAAATAGGGCCCTCTAAAATAAGGTGAAAGGAGGATTATTATTTACCCCTAATATCACTTAAGTTTAACATGCAAACCATTCTCGCTACAAAGCTTACTTAAGAAAGACCAATGATGCCCCCACTTGACAAAAGCATGTTAGTGCCAAAAAATTAAAATCATCAACTCCAAATTAAGATTATACATTCACTGCTCCTGTGAAAAGACTAAGAAACACCAAGGATATAATTTCTTATTTTTATTATATTTTTATTAACTGCCATATTAACAAATACTTATATAAAGCAACCTTACAAAGGGCTGTTCATTAAGTAATCACCTATACAAAGTAAATGTGGAAAAATACACAAGCCAAAAAATTCAATAAATTTAGGTTCAATTCTACTTATTATGAAGAAGTAGGTAAAAATGGAATTCCTAATGTAATAAAGTATTTACTTTAGAATAAATAATAGTTCTTTTAATAACGTCAATTTGACATGTATAAAAATGAATATTAAATATCTTTTTATCTAATGGTGACTTTCCACTGTGATTTTCAAATAGTTCTAGTCACTTAACCTGGAAATAGAGTGGAGAATGGTCCATGGATGAGGTAGGGGGATCAATGAACTGGGTACAAACACATTTTTTTCTTAGATTTCCTATTATTTAAAGGATTGTCTTTATTAAAATGTTTTTCTGTATCAAATTATACTACTAAGACATTGATTCAATTACAGCTTGAGTAATAGGTACATGGGCCAGATAATCTGCAAATGTCATTGCAATGATTCATTCCAATCATCATTAGCACGTAGACAGGTAATGTACAAAAGTCATTATCCTTATGTTACAATCCAGAGTGGCTTTCTGTAAGAATTAGGGAAAACACACAATGTCATTATGATTATAAATATATCCTTGTTTCTAAGAAGGCTCAATATGAAAAGGCTAGAAGAACTAAGCTAAACTTTGGATTTACCCTAACACAACAAAACCCTTGAATTAAACATATCTTACAGATGCTTGCTGCACTGCCAAGAAAAAGAAGTCATATGTAATTGAAGAAACTTTGATGAAATTACAAGCCCTATAACTGGTCATATTGGCTGCAGAGAAATAAAACTGAAGTAGAAGCACTGTACAATAAATCATCCACTTTAGAATGGCTGATCTTTCATCTAATATTTTGCAGAGGGTTACAAATAAATAAGCAGTTAAATAATTTCAAAGCTTTCAGGATATGAATGAATGTCATTTCTTGTTTCTTGCTATAGCTGGCTCCTGATGTGGCAGGTTAATTTATTTCTCTGTCTCTGTTTCCTCATCTACAAAATGGGGATTGTAATGGTACCTAGTGTACATAGTATCATTATAGTAAGAGGACTGCCTCTCCCTCCTCCCACCCATTATTGTTCATTACCACTCTCTCCCTTGATTATTCTGAACCATATCAACCTCTTTTCTGTTCCTTGGATATCCAAGACATGGTCCACCTTTGCATCTTTGTACAGATTGTTCCATTTGCCTGGACGTTCTCCTGTCAGATATCTGCATGATTAACTTCAATGCAACCATTTTCATTATGCCTGTTATGACAACCCTATTTAATAATGCAACCCATCTCCATCATTCAACCTCAACCCCACACTCCTGACTACCTTACCTTGCTCTGTTTTTTCGATAGTACTTACCATCCTATGGTCCATATACTTTATTTTGGTTATTACCAAAATATGCTTATTGGTCATGCTTACTGCTTATTACTTTGTCCATTCTCACTAAATATAAGGTCTGTGAAGACAGGGGTCTATGTCTGTTTCATTAACTTATCCTAAGAGTCAGCAGGCACTCAATAAATGCTGCTAAATAAACAGATGCAGGCAAAACACTTGGCAAAATGTATGGCACATAGAAACAACTCCATAAATGTTAATTACAACTATTATTACTACTACCAATACATTATCAGCACTTGAATTCCTATTTTTGAGGGTCTTTTGGAAACTTAAAAGGCCATGAATTCTTCAAGATTAGTGAAAAATATTTTTGCAAACAAAGCTTTAGCTGGGAGATAATCTTGATACTTTATGTACAAAATGGAGCACTTGGAATTCTTGGCAATGTATCTACTTTTATGAGTTTGGTGAAAAAAGCAGCTCTGATTGACTTTAATTTAATGCTTTCCAAAGAAAGGAAAACACCAAAATCTGGCCATTAATGGTAGAACCAAACTATCAGATGCTGGAACAACTCTTTTTAAAAGTTCTTTATTTATGCAGTGACCAGATGTATGAGAAGACATCTTTATTTAACATACTGGGAAAGTAAACCACAGATATTACAGTTATATTTGTTATGTACAAGAGAGGAGATTTCTAAAAGCCATTCTTATAACTTTATGATCAGATTAATCAGAATCTGACTGATTTTGAAGAACTGATCTGCTTCATTAGGTGATCCTTCCATTTCTCTCTAAATCAAGCTACTATATGGATGCAATGGTACCAATCTCAGCTTAACTAAGAACTACAAATAGATGCCAATCATCATGATTATAGAGCCAATTTGAAGACATTACCGTGGAGAGGAAATAGGACTTGAAACCGTTGTTTCACTTAATAGTTCTGTGTTCTAGTATAGATAATTTTAATGCATTGTTTCTGTTAACATAGCATTTTACATATTAAAGATAATAAGGCCACCTAGTTACTCTTGCTATCAATGGCAAGAGGATTGCTTTCAGAAAACCTAGTCAAATAACTTGTTACAAAATTTCCTAAATTTTAATAGCTGTAAGAAATTTCAATTCCATTTTTTCTGCTCTACCCCTCTCACTATAGTTGCTTTCTCTTTGCTCTTTCCTCTTCTTCCACTGATACAAGCACATATATATTCCTCTAGGTATTGCTCTAAATAGTTTTTTCTCTTTCCACACTTTGAGCTGATTCACTCCCAGGATTTCAACTATCACTTCCATGCAGATGATTCCCAAATATACATTTATAGTTCAAACTATCTCAAGTTGACATTTCCAGCTGGCCGTCCTTCCTGCCATATAAAATTCAAACTCAATATGTTCAAAACCATAATTATAATCTTTCCTTACAACCTGCTTCGTTTTCATTATGTTTACAAATGATACTGCTATTGTCCCAATTATCTAGACTTTTAATCTCAGAATCAGCTTTGACATCTTCCTTCTCCTATCATCCCTTATTAATATAAGTTAATTCATGGGAAATTTTGATCCTATTGCTATAACCTATCTTCTTTTGTCTAGCTATTGCAAAATCTTGCTAATAGGTCTTCTGTCTTTCAAAATTCCCCTTTATCTGATTCATTGCCATAGCAACAAACTTCTTAAAGCACAGGTCAAAGTATCTAATGACTGTTAAACACACAAAATGACATCAAAATACTTTTGAGAAGTGAATCCCAAATCTCTTTCAATGTATCTACTCTCCAGGATGATTAACTATTCTCTAGAATCACTATGCTCTCCTCCCTAGTCCCAGCTCCCCTACTTCCTGTCTTTGATCACACAGATTGTCACCTCACTTTGGAGTATCTTCTGTCTCAAGTACAACTGCTACAATTCCACTTTACCTTCAAGATTATCGCACAAAAGGGGCACCAGGGTGGCTCAGTCAGTTAAGTGTCTGACTCTTAATTTTGGCTCAGGTCATGATCTCCCAGTTCGTGAGTTCAAGCCCCACGTCAGGCTCTGTGCTGACAGTGCGGAGCCTGCTTGGGATTCTCTCTCTCCCTCTTTCTCTGCCCCTCCCTGGCTTGTGCTTTCCCTCACTCTCAAAATAAATAAGTAAACTTTAAAAATGTTTTTTTTTAAAAAAGATTATTGCACATGAAATCTCTCCAACTCCAGTCAGCAGGAATTTTCAATATTCCTTTGACTCTCATATAGAATTTTTCTTACAATATGTTATTTCTTCCCTCTACAAAAAGACTTAATTTTTCATTAATCCATACAGTATATTCTGAGCATTTACTATGTCCCACAGGCAATGTTAAAACCTTTACATGGATTAGCT